CCCCGAAAACACCGCCCGTCAACCCGGTTGAAAAACATAAACCGACTTCTACACTTAACGACGCGAGGGCAAGTTAGGACATAATCTGAGAGCAAGCTAGCTGACCCTCGCGCAAGCTCGCGCTCATCGTCGATGCAATATGCAGCGCCGCTCGAGTGGTTGACCTAGCGCCTACCTCATGTCATCAGCCAAACTGTTCTCCATCCGAGTAAGATGCACCTCGATCGCTTGACGCCAGTAGACAAGAGGCTCTAGCTCCATTCAGTGACTCAGCATATCAAATGTACGAGTCTTGGCTTCCTCAGTGTATATATTGATATGAAGTCCCTGTCATTGAATGCTGAGTGATAATGCGCGGTTCTTCTCCTTTCGTAACTGCGATGGTAGGTATATGATTGAAAATTGATGAAACACCAGATTACCATACAGATAGCAAAGTGTATCATTGAGTAAAATGTACGATGAAAACAAAAAATATATTTTCTTATATAATGATTTAATTTTGAACTAAATACCTTTAATATTAAATGTATTGCTTCAATGATTTTCTTACAGGGTTTCAATTTTACTTTAGTCCTAAATTAAGATATTTAAAATGCATGTGTTATTATTTTCTTTTACCATCAAGTAAATCCTCTTGTCAATACTCACAATTATTATTTTAAAGTATATGATCCCTAAAGTCAGGTGTATCTTCATTTCTTAATATCTATGGCAAAACATAACTTTTACCGAAATCATCGAAAAAAATAAAACTTCGGTTTTATATACAATCGATGTTTCCTGAAAAATATAACAGCTGACTAAATAAATTATCCGATGTTAAATAATACTTATGTTTCTTTGGAAAGTATCAGTTGTTAAACTCGAGATTTTTTGCCATCACCCTATCTCCGCCCTCGCGCTTTTGCGCCTCGGCCGGGTTCCGGCCTGCGCGCGAAGCCCTTGGGCTGGCTGCTTGTTATTCTATATAATAGCAACAGGGGGTTATTGTAACTAATTTCTAACTTACAGAGTTTGTGACAGGATGTAGCATTGTGAAGTGTTGCGTGTTTATCATAATTGTGCAGTTAGACCTGACCCGAGCATGCTCAAAGTTGCAACTCTAGTGCAGGGATTCAATGCGTAGCTTCACGCCTCCGTTCTCCTCGCCTCCCACAGCAGTACCCTGCCTAACATTGGGCTCTCTCAATGTCTAATGCCCGCATATGCTGTTTCTTACAGATCGATTATCTAATTACTTTGTTATACCATGACTCACTTCTGAGCTACACAAAGTTCAATAAGATCAAAAGCTCGCGAAAAACATTAAACTCTTTAGTCGGTGCACATCATTTCTAACGAGCGTTGTTGAAAGCTGTCGGTTCTTTAATGTATGCGCATAGTTTTAGCGATTTGCAAGATGTGCTCTAGGCGCGTCCGACTCCGTGATCAGTACGCAGATTCTTAACCCACTGAAGTCTGACAACTCCCTTAATTTCTGAAGTATCAGGATGTACTGCTGACCTTTACTCTGTTGCCAAAATCGTTTCTCTGTCTCTCTGACTGTTGACCCGAGTGAATTTGTCTCAAAGAGAAGGATCTCTGAGCCAAGAAGACCCTTAATTCATTCCAGTCACAGATTTAACGTTTGTACTTATACAAATGATAGTCCAAAGCCAATGTTGTGGAAGAAAAGTTTCTCACAAACTAATGGCGGTGATAGCAATTCCCGAACTGATGACAAGAATTGTCGTCTTCGTTATTGAGTACGCAAAAAAATTACCGAATGCATTACTCCAGTATTGATACAATTGTACCTGTAACTAAGTCTCAATTATTTTGGCTTTTATATTTCAAAAACATTTATTTATCATATTTTAATGACACTTAGCGAGAAATCAAACCTTGGTAGAATATCTTTACATCACCACACAAAATGTAAGCAAAGTTACGCGGCACCGACACTCGACTTCCTCAGTCAGATCAGCGGTTATGTATCACAAAACTAATTCCTGATTAGTACTGCAGTGTATTAATGTGGGCTTGTCACTTTAAACGAGAGCTAACGAGTTACGAGTTGAACCTGATTAAGCATAAAGACTACTTTTCTATCTGGCGGCTGCGTTTGAAAACAAGTGAGAAGTACTATGATCTCTATGCAAAGCTATCTCCTTATCAAGTGTTTATTTTGTCTGTTTGCTTTGAACGGACGACTAGCGTCTACCGAAGGAGATCGGCTTTGAAAAATTAAATAGTGAGAATAAAAAACATGTAAGAAAAAAGAAATATTAGCGTGATGTGACATTATAGCCTTGCATAGGCCGACAGCCGGACTCGACCAGAGAAAAATAACTGGTTATTCGCCAGTTTTTAATGTGACTACGTTAAACAATATCAGCAAGATTGATCATGGACGTAGTCCGGGTTAAGACGCAGCATCATGACAGATGACGACGTAATATCGACCGACAAAGAATATCGCAGCCTCTTCAAGCTTGTTACTGTGCACACCAACAGGCAGTACAGCCCTTGAAGAAGGACCCGATAAAGTCGGTTTCGAAGTCGTACGGCACCTCCGCACGCCCACAGCCGTCGAACGCGGCTGTCACACGGAACAGCCAGTCATGAGTAGGCCCGCTGGACAGCCTAATGACATCAAGAGAATTCCGGCTCCATTCAGCCCCGCTCAGCTGCCAGTGTGCAGAGGCTCACCTTCCGCCTTAGTAGCAGTGACTGCGCACCGTTCTGCATCGAGTCGAGCCTAAGGATGACCACTTACCTTTCAGGGCGGTAGCCGTCGCACGCGATTCCAGATATCCTTGACTTACAAATAGCCCGCTCCGGAAAACGGGTAGGACCAGCTGGGCTGTCTTCCTCGACCAGTCGTGCGCCAGATGGAACACCACCTCCTCATCGTATATTTGTCTGGCAATCAACACCACGCCTCTCCGTCACCTTAATAGCGTCCTAAGGTCACACCATAACCCATCTCTTGCAACCATAGTTACGACCCCAGCCGTACCTGTGCTACTTCGACCGATTATTTATAAATGAACATCCCTCCAGTTCTCGCTCACCAAGCGAACAATCAGCCTCTTTTGCTGGAAGACTTCAATTGGACACATCACCACACGTCAAATTATCTTAGATTTAGCTTAAACTTAGCTGTAATTGTAAAGGCTCTCCGTGTCAACCACATGTGGTGCTCCTGCGACGTTATTACCTACTTGTCAGCCACTTCCAAAAAAGGTAAAGACATTTCTCGCTTCTTCCAAATGGTCCACTTCAGTTCAACTAAATCCCTTAGAAAAAGTATTCTTGCGTTAATATTGGTAATAATGCCTATTAACACCACTACTTACGCATAAAGAACATATCGTAAATTGCGCACGACAAATACCTCTGATCTGGGGTACACTTTCTTGTCCACATTGTATTTATTCACAGTCTCAATTCTTCCAGACTTCCTCAATTAAGATCGGAATTCTCTCTGAAAACACTAATAAATATTGGTTGGTCCCTTTCATAGTTACATTAGTCTGTAGCCCCACCAATCTTTTGGAGCGCACTCAGGGAATCCACCAAGAACGGCCATCAAAAATTATTAAGGGCCTCTCCCGAACATGCCGTCAGGTCCCGCACCTGAACCGCCCATCCCGTCATCCGTAAGACGGCCCTCCGGTCGACACCGGGGCTAGAGCCCCTCAGTTCCAACCGTGACTAGAGGGACCCTCCAAGCTCACACATAGGCCCATCCACGTCCCAATCAGCCCTCGTCACCACACCCCTCGTCACACAGCCCTCCGTCCCATAGCAGCCGTACATAGCCCTCCGCTTTCACACAAGCCCTCCTCACCACACCCTCGCCACCAAACCCTCCGTTCACACAGCCCTCCTCACCACAAGCCCTCCGTCACCAAGCCCCCGTCACACAACCCTCCGTCACACAGCCCTCGTCACACCCCCGTCACATAGCCCGCCGTCCCGTACCTCCGTCACCGTACCATCCGCACCTAGCCCTCCTTCACCACAGCTCCGTCACCACAGCCCTCGTCACACAGCCCTCGTTCACCTAGCCTCCGTACCATAGCCTCCGTCACCAAACAGCCTCCATGTTCACACAACGAACTGAATGGGAGTGATGGCCTCTCTGCGGGCACCATGAGGCCCTCCTTTGTCGCCCGTCCGTCACCGTATCCCGCCTCACCGTAGCCTCCGTCACCGTGAGCCCTCCGTCACCATTAGCCCTCCATCACCATAGCCCTCCCGTCACCACAGCCCGCCGTCACCACAGCCCTCCGTCAACCATAGCCCGCCGTCACCATAGCCCTCCCTCACCACAAGCCCTCCTCACCAAACAGCCCTACCGCACCAAAGCCCTCCGTCACACAAGCCCTCCGTCACCACAGCCTCACGTACCCATAGCCCTCCTTCAC